AGTAAGAAATCTGTTAGAGTGGTGGATTACCTCCCAAAAATATCGCAATAATACAAGGGGGGTAGAGCAAAAGGGCGCTTGGGCCCTAACACTCACAGCAACCCGAAGAAAAACCCGAAGAAGTCACCATAATATATTTCCCGAAACTTTTGTGCAGAATGATTTTCAACAAGTTGTTTAAAAAAAAAGTCGAGTTGGAAGTGGATGTATACTTTATAAAGAACGACCAATGCACCCCTTTCATGCTTGACTCGAAGTTACACATTAACTGTAGTGGCATTCGCATTGGTAGTGGGTGGGGAGGGGATGATCAAGTAATCATACAAAACAGTTCTAAGAAGCTCCTACTTAACGAAGACTCGATACACGATTTTAGGTACCATGAAATAGACATGTGCCAATTTAAGTATTTGCAAAATGGATTGATAGAAGAATATGGATTAATATTTTCCAAGATACAACACATGTACTACTTTTATAAGTACATCATGCTGTCATACTTGAAGGGTAATATAATTTCATGCAGAAGGGTAAATCTATATAGATACACGGAACCTGTGAAGGTACTTTACAAAAAGGATCACTATGGCCTCGTAGCATTCAACACGAACAAATGTGAACATTTGTTAATCATTCTCAAACCGGAGAAGTCCCTCGGAGCGGAAAACTCCAACCCCTCTCCGCTCGAAGGAACACTGCATGAGGCGACACCGATTGTTGTACCGAGTGTTGTACCGAGTGCTGTACCGAGTGCTGTACCGAGTGCTGTACCGAGTGTTATACCAAGCGTTGCAGAAATAACGTCCGAAATGCCTGCAAAAGACGACACAAGAAATGAGGAAGAACTGGCTCGGTTGGATGCGCAGTGTGAGGATCTATACGAAGAATTCACCATGGAAAATGTTAGAGAATTGTACAAAAGGAACAGAGTATTTCTAATATACATCTTAAACTCCTTCAAGGGCATTTACTTAAGTAGCGAATCCGTAGGGATTCACGTGCATAGGTACCTTTTCAACAATCTCTTCAAGTTGATTGAGTATAAAACTCTGTACGCAGATGGAGACAAGTATAAGGAATATTTCAAAATAGAAGAAAGGAAAAAACTGTCTATAGGAAAAGCATTGGTATCAGAGGTGGAAGTAGTAAGAGAACAATTATCCAAAGGGGGGAAGGAAGAAAAGAGGACTAAAGGAAATATTCATCTTATTCATAAGAGTTTGAATGAAGAAAAAAAAATGATTCAATTTGAAGATGATGAATTGGCGCGTTTAGACAAGTGCGTGGAGATAGAAATTAATAAGATCAATCAAGGGAGAGAACACATTGTTGAAAAGAAGGATTTTGAGGAGGAGACTGATCGATATGGTTGCAACGAGAGGGAAAATGAACTCTTCATGCATCTACACTGGTTGAATGAAAAAATTTTCTTCATTTTAGAATCAGAAGATATCATGATAAACCAAATAAGAGAAATACTTATATATAGACACGATTTCCAAAATGACATTGTCCATATCAAGAAGGATTTCATGGATTCTAGCACGTGGGATGATCAAGAGGGAGAAGATGCTGAGAAGAATAAGGGAGGATTTGTTTTGCTCTCCTCCGATTCGGATTCATCAAATTCGTCATATGTAAGAGATGGGATGAGAGAAACTGGAAAAGTAGGAAGACGGAGAAAGGGAAGAGACAGTAGCAACTGTCGAGATAGTGGAACCGATGGGGATAGCGATCCCAGTAGTGACAAGCATAGTCGGGCCATTCCTCGGATGAAAAACAAATTTGTAAACACGAATGGGAAATTGTCCTTCGTGCTGAGGCAGAATTATATACCTCTTAAAAGGACGGGGGTCATGGCACTGAAGGAAAAGAGAGAATTTGTGGAAAAGGAGGAAATTAATTACGATGACATAAAGAATGAGCTAAATATATACACATTTGATGAATATGGAAAAGAGAAGATGATGTACAATTCAAATAAGAAGATATTTAAATATAAAAATGAGAAATGTGTACCAAAAAATATACATATGAATGATGAGGAAGGAAATAAAATACTTTTTCTAGATGAAAAAAATGATAATAATTTATTTATGCTTGATGCCAATAGAGAAAAAATTATAAACAAGTGGGATACAGAATATGTACCAATAAGTGAAATGATAAAGAAGGAAGAAAATGTATACTGTGGATATAATCAGAATAGTTTATATTTTATTGATACACGAATGAAATCGTGTGTTCAGAATTTATTGCAGTATAGCAAAAATACAGCTGATATTGAACATGCAAGTATGGACGAGAAAGGAAGAATAATTTTGATAAATACTAGAGGAGAATTAAAATATTACGATGGAAAAATAAATAAAAATGATGTGATTAAAAAAAGTAAAAACGTAATTTTCTGTACTAATGATATCGTCCATTTGTGTGCATCATCAGATGGCCTCTATTCAATTGTTACATGCGAAAAAAGTGTAATAATATGTGAAAATGCCATTGATAATTGTAGTCTTTTTGAAAGAGTCATCAAAAAAGAGGATCGAATAAAACAAAAAAAAATTCTCCTACAAATTCACTACATTGATGTTTTTACTTACAATCTCGGAGATTACAAATTTGAAAAAAGTTCTGTTAGTGCTGATAATTCTCTTATATTCACTTTGTCCAAAAAATTTTATGTAGTGTGGAATTTTAACCAGGTCATAAATGGAAAAGTATCTTATGTCATCAAAAAAGTTGTCGAAAATATATCAGATATGTCCTACTTCAAATTCAGTGACGTGCAAGGTCTTCTCGTCGCCACAGAAAATTCTCTCAAATCAAAGAAGATCAAGCGGGTGTAGTTATCCACCAAAACATACCTTTCGGACTATGTCAAAACTCGTCTATGTATGTGGGGGGTGAAGAGTGCCATATGTACATATATATATATATATGTCTAATCATGCAGAATAGTATATTCGCCGCTAGCAAAAATGGAGAACCAATCAGGAGGAAGAGAAGAACAGACACATTGATGGAGAACCTCCTAACTTATACAAAAATCTGCACAAAATGGGAGAGCTGTCACACATACACAGAGGGGGGTCGGTGATGATGAGAGAGTCTTTCAATTTTTTCTTTACAGCAGTTGGTCGCAGAAAATAGTTGTGATATATATATATATATATATATATACATATATATATATATATATATATATATATACATATGTGTGTGGAGATGGTCTCAAAATGGATCAATGCACGCAGGTTAGGAATCAAATGTGGAACGAAAAATTGGAGAATGTTGTATTGATCCTTCACTTCCCCCCCAATTGTGTATGATACTTGAACTTTATATTTTGTTCCCCAGACCAAATGAACCAGAACTAATTTTAGAATTTCTATGTATCAAGGGAAAATTTTATACACACATATGGATAACCCTATTTTTCTAAACGTGTCGTATCAGTGACATGGGCGCAAATTATCCTTTGTTTCAACATTTCACAAAAATGGGAAAAAAAAAAAAAAAAAAAAAAAAAAAAATGCATTTGAATAGCATATTTTTGACGTATAGGTTACACAAATATCTCTACAAGTAACATATGTTACACGATTAATACAACACGAGTGCATTTTTTTTCCCTCTCCCTTCCCTTTTTATTCTTAAGTAAACCAAAAAAAAAGAGGGGAAAAAATGAAGCCTTATTGGAGCTTTTCTTTTTTTGGAGTATATTGTAAAAAAAAAAAAAAAAAAAAAAAGTTCATTTTTTTACACAAGTTGGTAAAAATATATATCCAGAATTGGGGATAAAGGGACTTAAAAATAGGCAGAAATTTTTATTCCCAAAATATTGCATATCACCACACATTTATTATATATATGTACCCAATTCTTTTTTTTTCTTTCATTTTCTTCGCAAAAAATTGGCATACTGATGAATTCAAAACGTTTATGGGGAATGTGTTTTCATTACCACTCATATAAACGTTTGGACAATTTCCAATTGTTCTTCATATAAAATATATATATATATATATATATATATATATATATATATATATATATATAATGCACATTAATATATAGTTTCTCTTCCATCTCTTTTCTTCTCTCTTCTTTTTTTTTTTTTTTTTTTCGAATGTTGAAGTATTTTTTTTTTTTCCCTGTAAATCCTGAAATGCCGATCGAAAGGCTCGTTAGGCGAATGCACATTTCTCGTAGGTTTAAAGTACGGGCATTTGAGTGTTTGCAATACATAGATAAATATTGTATGAATATTATTAGTTAAGGCAACATACATATGGCTCATGAACCTTATAAATACACATATGAACATATGAACTATGAACATATGCACATATGAACATATGCATATATGCACATATGCATATATACATATATGCAAATATATTGTATATGTAATTTTTTTTTTTTTTCCATTTTGCTTCCTCTTTATGCGCGGGGCAATTATTATAACAATGGTGCCTTCAAAAATTATTGAAAGAAAAACTCGAATCTCCTTCTATGCTAATTTCCCGTTTGCGTTAAAAATTTTTTATCCATTCCTTATCATCTTTTTCTTCCTCGCGCGTTAAATTATAGCACATATATGTACATACGTATATATATATATATATATATATATGTAGCACATTCAAATGCATATAAATATTTATGCAAGTATTAATTATGCACTTCCTCCCCCCCCCACCTTTTCTTCTTCCTTTACTGCATGTACTTTTACGTTTTCATCTCATCCCTTCTTTATCATTTTTTCTCCGCCTACCATCGTTTCCATTTTACATTACCTTCCACGTTGTTACCCTTTATAAATTTATTTTTCCTCTTCTTTTCCTTTAATTTTGCTTCCCTCCATTTTGCTTCCCTTCCATTTCGATCCCTCTCATTTTATTTATGTGTAATTGTATATTTTCTTCCATCTGTGTTATTTCTCCACCATTTACATATTTACTTCCCAATATTTATTTTCTTACCACCCCTCCATTCCCCAATTCACTTTTTTTTTTTTTTTTTTTTTTTTCCCTTTTTCATTTTGTTCATTTTTACGACCATGAATTGAACCTTTTTCTTCTCCTGCCCACCATTAACTGCAGATTTTTTTTTTCTTTTTGATGTATATATATGTATATATATATATATATATATATATATACATTTATATATTTATATCCCAAAAAAGGGGTTGTGAAAAAGGAGCCTGCTACATATGAATACTGCAAATACGAGGATTTATTAAAGATACACAATTATAAAAAGTGTAGTTTTTTTTTTTTTTTTTTTTTTTTATTCTTGGCTTCCTTCTCTTGAGATAGTGTATATTAAAGTGGTAAAAAAAAAAAAAAAAAAAAAAAAAAAAAAAAGACGTAGACCAGAGGGATGATAGTCATCATTCGAGTGTGATGAATCCCTGATGATTCAAATCATTGTAAATTTTCTGACATGTAATCAAAGTCACATAACATATGAGGCACACATACGTTGTGCGTTAAGATTTTATTGAACATATTGCAACTTGTGTACCTGCACCTACGGCTAACTGTTACGTAGATTAAGAATTGGCATATATTTGGTTTTGAAGTAATAAGCGAAGAGACTGACCAATTTCCTGTTCTTTTCACAAATAAGAGCAATTCTAATTTTTTCAAAACAAGCAGTTTTTATACAAAAAATGAGCGAAGAAATTTTGAATGCAACAATTGATGGAGTTCCTAATGCTCGATTGCACATACAGAACATTCCCCCACATGTTACGGAAGCCCATCTGAGAACCTTATTTGGGAATGCAGGTTATTTTATTAAAGATGTATGTTATTTCAATAAAAATAAAAAACAATCAAATAATAATTTTGTAAATAAGAAGATTTATAACACAGCTTTAATCACATTTAATACACATGAAGAAGCATTAAATGTCTTAAAAAATATTAAAAACTTGATTGACACTAGTAATCAGGAGAAAAGTATAGAGGCCAAATTTGCCGTTCCAAATGTAAATAACAATTCGACAGGAAAAAATAATAGTGGTCATGCTGGTGGGGGGAATACAGGAAATAATGGAAATCTGGGAAACAACAACTTTCAAAACAATTTTAACAACAATGATGATTTCAACAATGGTAGTGGTATGAGCAATTACAATTTTTATAACAATTCTGGAGGTGCACAGAATAACCTAGCTAACAGGAATGTAAAAGGAAAAAATACAAATAATGGAATGATGATGATGAAGATGATGAACATGAACAATGTGAATAATACAAACAGTGCGATGAACACTAGTAATATCCAAATGAACAATGCCTTATTTAATCAGAAAAACAACTTCATGTTGAATAATAATAATTATGGAAATGGGAAGAACTTAAACGATTCTATGAAAATCGATGAGGAATTTCCCACCAATAAAAATGCTAATATTGGAAACATGAATAACTTAACTGGAATGAGCAACATGAACATTGGAGGAGAGGGTGATGGACGTGGAAACAATTATAATAATCATGGGGGGAACAGTCCCATATCATTTAGACAAAATGGAATGCAAAATAATAACAATGGGAATATGCTTCAAGCGAATGATATGGCAATGGATGATAGTATCGAAAATGTTGAAGGTCTTAGCTTGTGGGAAATTTATAAAGATAAAAATAATAACACATTTTACTACAACAATTTGACAAAGCATAGTCAATGGAACAAGCCCATACATCCAAATAAATTATTTCAATATAATAACAATGAGAAAACAAAACTTAATGGACCTAATGGAAGTAATTTATTTATTTTCCATATACCAAGTGAGTGGAGTGATTTGGATTTATTTCAACATTTTTGTTGTTTTGGTAATATAATTTCATCAAAAATTCAGAGAGATAACACAGGCAGAAATTCAGGATTTGGCTTTGTCAGTTATGACAACACTATGAGTGCACACCATGCTATTCAATTTATGAATGGCTATTTTGTTAATAATAAATATTTGAAGGTTCAGTTGAAGAAGGGCGAAGCCTCCGAAAAGACCCAAGCCTAATAAAGAGGGAAAAGAGAAAAAACGAAAACGAAAATGAAAACGAAAATGAAAATGAAAAAAAAAAAAAAAAAAAAAAAAAAAGAAGCTATATAGACACAGAGAACAATGAAAAAACAAAATAATAGGCAGAAGGATGATGTATATTAACTACCCCCGCTGCACATATATTATCGCAGCTACAATGTGTTTGTATTTATCCATTTGCACATATATTTGTACTTATCTTCCCATGTTGCGTATACCTTTTTGTTTGAAGCTTACCGACATGGGGTTTCTTCCTTATGTGGGAGAAAAACATCACGTGCAGAAAAGTTCATACATATATATATATATATATATATATATATATATATATAATTAGACAAAAAAAAAGAGCACATATGTGTATACACTTATATATACATATATACGTATATAGGTGCATACATCCTTTGGTTGGTTATAACATATAGTTCCCCCCTCCTCAATGTGGCACAAAGGAATTTGCACATATCTGTGTACGTACGCAAAGGAAGAACAAAAGGAACCAAGTGGATATGCTACCCTTGAATACAGAAAAAAGTGCAGTATTAATACCAACAAACCGTGTATATACTTCTATTTTAAAAAATTATTAAAAATGTGTTATTTTTTTTAAGTAAAAAATAAAAAAAAAAAAAAAAAAAAATGTTTCCGTGTACGTAAATTTTTTAATTTCATTTTGTGTGTGACATTATGTGTATTAACATATATATATGTATATGTATATTTTATTTATTTATTTTTTTTTTTTTTTTTTCATATTAATAAGAGCCTATCCTTTTTCCATTCCATTTATAGCTAATTCGATTTTATCTCCTCATTTTTTTTTTCTTTTTTTGCATAAATATATGTGTGTATTCATGAGCTTATATCACTTCTGGTGTATTTGTGCCTCAAGTGTAAGCATCATGAGTTTATAATAATTGTTATAAAGGTAAAAATAAAATAATTTACTTCCCAACTTTGATATTTTAATTTCACTGATTACGTGGAAGCAGTTATTTCGTTATATTTATAAGCCACCTCACCACTACCACATCTAACAGGTGCTCGTTGTATGACTTTAAACAGAAAGAATTATTGGGTCATTTTTTGACACATATAATAAAGAACATACTTGTCTTTGTATCATATGCACATTTGCAACAAAGAAAACATATAAATGGATTTAAATGTGAAATACAAGATGTTTTTTTTTTTTTTTTTTTTTGTTTTTTTTGACGCGTTTCCTATATGAGTCGAATTCATTTGAGGGGCATATCTTTTTTGGATCACGCATTCCATGGAAATATTTTTCCCCTTCTGAAATTAGAGAGGTGGGCTACATTTGCAGATAAAAATTTCTGAAGTATTCGCATGTGTGAATGGCCTATTTTTTTTCACTTACTTCTTCATCTTCTTCTTCCTCTTCCTCCTCTTCTTTCTATTCTTCTTCCTTTTTTTTTTTTTTTTTGTTTCACCATTTTCCATGTTCCAGTTCATGCGCTCAGGTGATAATACACGTGAAGAGGCAAAAGTATATACATACACACATTCTAGTACATAATGAGTATTCCTCATTTGCCTGAACAATTTTGCATGTCCATGTGCTCATGTTTCACCTGAACGTTCATATTTTACTAGCCAAAGAGGAGGAAACTTGAAAAAAAAAAAAAATAATAAAAAAAAAATATATGCCTCCCTAACAAAATCAAACAACCCCTTTTAATTTTTATTTACTCTATTTTTACGAATTAGATTGTTAAAAAAAAAATGACCTGGTTATTATTTTAAATCTGAGTTAATGTGACAATGGCGTTGGTTATGCAATTTAGTGAAAGGACAGATTTGTCATTGTTTTTGTCCATGTCTTTGTCATTGTTTTTGTCCATGTCTTTGTCATTGTTTTTGTCCATGCCTTTGTAATTGTTTTTGTCCATGTCTTTGTCATTGTTTTTGTCCACGTTTTTGTCATTGTTTTTGTCCATGTTTTTGTCATTTTTTTTTTTTTTTTTTTATTAAACTTTTAACCATTCAGGAATAAATTGAAATTAAACGAGTGTATTAAAATGGTACAAAAAAAATGTCCTAATATTTATAAATAACAAGGGGCAAAAAAAAAAAAAAAAAAAAAAAAAACTCTTTAAAAAAATTTCGAGGGTTACACATTTATCAGTTTTACAGCTTGAGCATGTAGATACACAAAAAGGATATTCCTAAGACAGGTACTTTTATTTTATTTTATTTTTATTTTTTTTTTTTTTTTTGGGGGTTAAGGGTTGGGAGGTACACAATGACAATACTCCTTTTAACTACATCTCAATGAAACTCGAAAAAAATAATATGAGTAGTATTTTTCAAAATATAAGTTAAAAGTAGACACGTTTTTTTTTTTTTTTTTTTTTTTTTTTTTTTTTGTTGTTGTTATGTTGTGCTTACATTTTCAGAGGGAATGTGAGAAACGAAAAAATATGAAGGAAATTAATAATATGCTGCGAAATGATCAAATGCCAAGCGCATCAAAATAACGAAAGTGAAATCGGCATAAAAGCGTAACGTACGGGGGCTCTAATGTAATGGAGATATAAATCGCTATGAAGGTAAAAATAAAATAAAATGTAGTAAAGTGAAATAAAGTAATGTAAAGCAAAATGAAACATTACATAATACCCCACCCTCACGCGATGCAATACGTGAAGGCACATGTAATAAGCATGTTTGCAAAGTGAACACGAGCCAATGCATTTAATGAGTATATCTCTCCCCACACATCATCCCTTCCCCCGTTACAACTTGTTATGGAAAAAACTGTACAATCCAAGCGGCACTTGTTTCGTATATCAAATGGGATGTGCCAGGGAGAGGCATAGAACGAATTGGATACATTGTATGAGCATAACAAATATGACTCGTATATCAAAAATATCAATCAATTTCCACAAATCACCCTTAACATGAAGACATATGTTCTATGTCCATTTCGATCCCCACATATTTTTAGCGATGCACCATTGAAAAGGAAACAAGCTTCATGTGGAATGATCTATAGGAAATATGCGAAAAAAACAACAACAAAAAAAAAAAAAAATTAAGTATATATATATATATATATATATATATATGTATATGTATATATGTATATATACACGTCAAGGCATAAATGCGGGACGCTAATAGGAGGTGTCAATATGTGGCATACATCCTTTTTTTCTCCCATCTCATGGGTTAATTCTGCTGTTAACAAAATGACCGTGCCGATGAAATCCATGGAGAATTTCTAGGAAGCATTCCACCATTCGGCAAAATGCACGCACGGGCAGGAAGGCAGTCATCCGGTTATATACATGCATATACATGCATATACATGCATATACATGCATATATATATATATATATATATATATATATATATACATACATATATGTACGCATTATGTGCAACATATTTCGGAGAGAATGCCCCATCAATCATACCCCACAAAACCTGGCCACTTTTTAGCATAAGGAGTCTTTATTTTCCCTTCTTTATGGGGCTTCCTACTATGTTTGAGTTTTTGCTTTCCATTTGACTTTTTCCGCCTCGCTTGTTCGGGTTCTTAATCAGGTCCGATTTTTTGTTATTATCTCCTGCATGAACGTTTGCGTACCCTGCTGGAGGGTTATTCCTCTCCTTTATTTCCTTAGAGGAAAATTCACTGTCTCGACTATTGCCATTAACACTAATACTAGCACTTCTATCAGTTGTGGTCTCGGTAGTGAACGCAGTATCATTCGTGACAATGCCCTCCAAGCCATTCCCCTCTTTGCTATCTTTCTTTTCAATAAAATCGTATATAATCATATTAGCCTGATCCGTATCTAGCTTGTTATGCATTCCGTTGATTGGAACTGCTGCATATTCGGATGGAGAGTCAGGGAGAATAGGTGTTGTGTTATGTGTGGATATGTTTACCTCCTGTTCATTCTTCAAAAAATCTTGAAAAGTGTTGGATTCTTGTTTTTTGTGGTTAGTATTTAAGCTGTTCTGATATTTTTTATATTTCATTCCTGTTACAAATAGAAATGTTAAGAACATAAAAATGAAAATTATGTATAACCTGTATTTATTAAAAAGTTCTTTATTTTTTAATATATTGACTATCGTTTTCGCTTGATCTAATTTAGTTGTAATAAAGGACATATTAGATAAGCTTTTTTTTATACTCTCTCTTTGTTTATTTAAATTTTTCAAAACATCATTGCTGATATATTCTGAATTGGTCATTAAAATTTTGGATTGGTTAATATATATATCTCCTTGTTCCAGTAAATCTACATCACTTAGTAGTAAAATTCGATCATCATAATTATTCATCATTTCATTTTTTTCTCTTTCTTTTATTAAAAAATTTTCTTTAATTGTTTTTAATTTCGTTTTATAATCTGTAATTTCTTTATGGATTTCATTTAATTCATTTTCTTTCTTCTCTATTAACGAGTTCGTTTCCACTTCTAGTTGCATCCTATTAAACATATTTTCTGCGCTCTTTATTGCTTTCTCGTAAATATTAAGCAATTTATATTTGTCTGAATTATTATCCTTTATTATCTTTTCCGTGTAAGACACGGTTTTTATGTATTCGAAGCAGTTATTCTTGTAGTCATTGTACAGTGCGTCTGCCATGGTTTTCCCTACTCACTCCTTCTGGGAACAAAAATGAAATGCTTCAATGGTTGGTACACTGGAACATATTGTTCGTGTGCATGCAAACATGATACATCCGTTTGTATCTGTGCATGTAACGATTAGAGGTTTGGATAAGGAGTAGCAAAAAAAAAAAAAAATATGTCACACAATTTTGTCACGTAGATATGCTTTATCACACCCCTGGAGCGTGTGCTGGGGATTAATGTTCGAGATAGAAGACGTTCTATTGTGATTGAGAACCCATTTGTAAAAAATAGGAATCCCGTCAATGTGCTTCTCTTCGATTGGAGGAATATGGGCATTACACATGTCCAATGTTTACTTATGGATTTTTCCCTTCAGCCCCGAGGGTGCCTCTCTCTTTCCCCTTCTTGTTCACTCACATGTGCGAGTATAGAAATATGTGCGCACAAGTATGCGTGCAGAAATATGTGTATGCGAATTTGGCTACGCAAATTTTGCCATACAGATATGACTACGCAAATTTTGCCATACAGATATGACTACGCAAATTTTGCCATACAGAGATGACTATGCAAATTTGCGTATGCTGACATAGTGTCCTCACAAAACAAGCCATGCATTGTTGCATACGTCACTTGTATCTTCATATCTACATATGTGTGTGCGTGCGTGTGCTCTCACTTGGGGTGTAGTTTTTTTTGATAGTGTTGGCAATGAAATGTCTGACTGTGTGCAAAAATTGCCTTTGAGATAACTTCAAACAATCAAACAAAAAAAAATGGAAAAAAAAAAAAAAGAAAAGAAAAGAAAAGAAAAAGGGTGCTAATATAATTGTGAGATTCTTTTTTTTTTTTTTTTTTTTTCGCCTCTTTTGACTTATCCTCTAGTTTTCTATTTTTGCTTCTTTTTTTTTTTTTTCCATTTTTTTTGAAAATTTTCAAAAAAATGAATTCATCCCAATCGACCAATCACCCATTCACTTGCGTGACATGAAATTGTTGTTTTATTTTTTTTTTTTTAAAGCAACAAGTGTGAAGGTTGAACATATTCGCAGGGGAAAAAAAAAAAAAAAAAAAAAAAAAAAAAAAAAAAAAAAGGAGAAAGGAGGGAAAAAAAAAAAAAAAAAAAAAAAAATATTTTTTTTTTTTTTTTTTTTTAAAAAAAAAAGTGTGAAGGTTGAAAATATTCGAAGGGGAAAAAAAAAAAAAAAAAAAAAAAAAAAAAAATATCAAAGTGGCGGTGCAAGGCGGCAAGATAAATTGGTAACATGATAATGTAGCAACAGAAAGTAGAAGGTACAAAATAGAAAACAGTATAATTGTAACAGCAATATGATATAGTAATGTAAAACAACCCGATGAAGTGAGGCAAAGTGTTGAATCGAAAGGGGTACCCCGATCGCTCAATCCTAATACTCTTATGGAAGAAGCGCCTCTTGGATCTTGGAACATATCTTCTGAGATAGAATGAAAAAGAAGCAGAACGTAATATCTGACCTTTTGAAAAATAAGAATACGATAGAAAATGGAGGGGGAGAGGGGAAAAGTGGGTGAATGACAAGGTTCATGCTATTGCTGAAAGGAATGATAAAGAGAAAAGTATAGAGGGTTAAAACCCCAAAGTGTGAGAAACATCTTCCTCTCTTTTTATCTTACATTATATCAGAATAACATTTGTGGTTTCTCCGTTGGAAGACTTTTTTTTTCCCACCATTCTGACCACACTGTGTTTCGACATTCCAATTTTGGTACCTACTTTTTAACGAATCCTGCGAGAAATATATAACAAGAACAAACAGGGGGAGAGGAAAAAAAAAAAAAAAAAAAAAAAAAAAAAAGAAAAAAGAAACTTTTCCCTGGTTAAGAGGATATACATGCATATACATATGCGTATATATATATGTACAAATTTTATGTTCATATAACTAGCACCCTGTTTTAAAAAACCAAACAAACAGAACATACTCAAAAGTACGTGAAAAAAAAAAAAAAAAAAAAAAAAAAAAAAGTAGCCTCTTGTGCATACGGTTTGTAAGGGCCAAAAATGATTAGAGAAAAAAAAAAAAAGTAAAACCCTTTTGAAAATAAGCAGTACGAAAGATTTGCTTTCTAATGGATTGTGAAGTAATTAAGAAGGAGCAAAAGGATAGGAGGGGTGGGGTGGGGTAAAGCAACACTAATGTTAGGACCTGCTCCTTCCCCACCTCTCCATGTGGATTACCATCTTCCATACTTAGAAAAGAAGCGCCTTTTGTAGATATTATTTGAAACGGTATATATATATATATATATATATATATAAGTACCCTTTCCTATTTGGTTCATATTTATGCGACATTTTTTATAGAAGAGCTTGTACAGCACTTATCAAAAACGTGAATGCAGGTATGGATTTGTATGGGGAAATGTATAACTGTGATGAACTGCTGGATGAATTCATTGAGGAAAGCTCAAATGAAGAACATTATGAGGATGAAACATTCAACCCCACATGGAAGAAGAGCATGAATGGAATTAAGAATCCATTGAATGATGATATGATAAATTTGGAAAATGAAGCACATGTGAAAAACATACAGATAGACCTAAAAAGCAATCAACAAAATGTTTCAACGCAATATTTATTTTTATACATTAACACGTTTAAAGAAAAAAACATTAAGAGGTGCTCGAGTTTATATGTGTTGAATTTTTATGACGTTCATATGAAGAATGATGATAAAAATGTGTTGGATACAGATAAAGATTTTGTTCATCATTGCCAGACAAACATTTTAAGAGAAGAATGTGTCAGACGAGGCGAGAGCAGAAGTGGCCAAGGCCGTAACTATGGAGAGGACGAAGTAGATGAGGAAGAAGCGAGACGCAATGAACGCATGAACAAGATTTACCTTTTCAAAATATATGAAACCATTTTGAAGCACTTCCCATTTAGTTTCAAGTTATGGTACCATTACCTGAAAGACCGAATAGAAATGCTGCATGATATTTACTATGATAATAAGGAGGAATACGAAGAAACAAATCGAGTGTTTGACACATGTTTGCTATATATGTACCATTTTAAAGGTATTTATATTATGTATATTCAATTTTTATTTATTCAAAGGAAAATTCAAAAAATAAGATTTCTTTTTAACCTTGCCGTTCAGAATATTTGCCTAAATCAACATGAAGATCTTTGGGATTATCAACTTCGGTATAATGAAAAAATTGCTAGCAAGTTAATTAATTATGAATATGTGAAGAGGTATGTAACGATTTACCCTGAAAAGATTATCCATTTGTTTAATCATTATCTAAAGTATAAAATGTGTAGACATGCGTTGAGTACGTTTTTTTACATTCTTAGTTGTGATGAAGAGGAAAATCTTGAACTTGGAAATAATATAACCAAGTATGATTTGTATAAAGAAATTTTTCATCTTATAAGTTCACGAAAAAGGTTGAATAATGATATTATGGTAACATTGAAAAAAAATTCTGATATTTTTAAAAGGTATGAAAATGTTACTTCTATTTACATCCTCTTAGCAAATACATTTGTTTATGAAGGGCGTTGGAATAAGGCCATGGATGCGTATGAAGAAGGAATTTCTGAATGTTACACAGTTAATGATTTTACTACCCTTTTTGAGGGTTACATAGAAATGATGAAGATACTAATCCAGTTGAAGATGAGGAAAGAGGGAAAAGTTGGAAACTCCAGTTGCATCACAAATTGTCAATCCCAAATGAACCATTATCATATGATCGACTTGTATATGGATAAAATAAATTACCTTTTGGATAAACGTAAAATATTCATAGCAGATATTAAACTGAAGAACAATCAGAAGAATGTATATATATGGCTAAGCAAGATAGATGTTGTAGATAATGATAGAGAAAAAATTGATCTGTACAACAAGTGCTTAAAATATTTCGAAGAAAATGATTATGTAGGGAGATTAAGTGATGTGTATATCAGTTATGCATATTTCTACTACAACAATAATGCGTATGAGAAATCGGTTCAAGTTTTTAACAGAGCCATAAGAGATAAAAATTTTAAAACATTGAACGAAATTGCAAGTATATTTTGTTCATGGATTGAAATAGAATTGCTTGAGAATAATTCTAAACAAGCTTTAAATATATCCAGATTGTGTATTGACATTGGTAAAGGCGATAGAAGAAAAAAATGGAAAATGACGAATGATAGTCACCAAAATAGTTTACCTACTGAAATGAAAACAGACATGAAAAATATTAATCATGATGATGTAACAATTTTAAACGCAAATTTCAATCTTTTAAATAATATAAAATTATCTTGTCTCATTTTAGATATGGAATTAAATTATGGAACAATAGAAACTTCCATAAATCTATTCGATCTGTTATATCATTCTAAAAATATTACTGTCAAAATGGTTCTTTCATTTGCAAATTATCTCTACGAACACAAATATTATAATGAATGTTTCAAGACATATGAAAAAGCTATTTCCATTTTTCAGTACCCATATTTGTATCCAATTTATGTACACTATATTAGAAAATATGTTGACAGGTATAAAGATAAAAACATTGCATATGTGCGTGAGTTATTTAAACAAGCCATTTATGGCATTGATAACAGAACATACCTTCCGAAAGAATTTGCAAAATTTATTTTCCTCATGTATGCACAGTTCGAGCACAATTACGGATTTTTGAAAAAATCCCTAAGTATTTACAAGGAGGCAATCCCCTTCTTGCCCGAGCAGGACAAGATCAAGTTTTACAAGTTGTTCATTTCGAAGGTAATGTTGCATGTTTTGAAGCGTGCCATGTTTTGAAGCTGTGGGATATGTGCTTCTATACATACACATCCATGTAATAAAGAATATACATATTTTCCTATTCACATCCCTTCTGTGATTAATTGTATGAACGATTCGAAGTTGACACAGAAATGATACAACGCTTGAGTTCTTCCTGAATGCACCTAATTTATTCCCACCTGTACACACATTTCAGGTATCCAAGTCATACGGTGTGCACAAAGCGAGAGAAGCATTTGAAGAAGCTATCCAGACTCTTAAGGATGATGACGTAAGAACAAAAATAAAAAAAAAAAAAAATGGAAAATAATAATCAGGGGTGGGGATAACCCGCTTAGTATCCCAACGTGGAAGCTGCTGAATTTTTCAGTTGTGTTTTTTTTTTTTTTTTTTTTTTTATGGTATAGTTTATGTTCAGGGTTCTATGGGGGTGGTTCCATATTTGTACCCTATATGTAATCCCAAATTTTTTTTTTTTTTTTTTTTTTTCTCCTGATAGGCAAGAGAAATATGTTTGTCATACATAGATATGGAATACAAGTTAAATGAGTATGAACGAGTCAGGGCACTTTACATATACACGGCCCAATTTACGAACCCATCTGTGCATGCAACTTTTTACCAGGTTAGACGCGTTTAAATTTGTTGCACGCCTTTTTGAGCGCAGCATTTTTTTTCTCCTCTTTTATTTTTTTCCACGCACGTCTTATTTTTTTTAATTTTTTTTTTTTTTTTTATAACGTAGGACTGGAGAGAATTCGAAGCATTATACGGAAATGAGCACACGTTCAGGGATATGATACGAATCAAGAGAAGTGTCCTCAGCTTATTTTCGTAAGACCATTCGCAGATCTTGTGCACATTTACATGTCTTGTACCATGTATACATATATGGACATATACAAAACACACGCACGGTGGGGGTGGGGTGGGGGAACAAGGACTTATTCGCTCATTCCACATTTATTTATTTCCACACCCTTTGCAGGAATTCGCGGATCACTAACAAGCCAGTGGAAAAGTTTGAAAATTCTGAAATGGGTGGAATAGAGAATACCAAGAGAAAGCTAAAGGAAATTATTGAAAATGAGGAGAATACTCAAAAAAAAATGAAAATGTTATAACATCACCCCTGGATTAGTGAAATTTCCGGACACGATGGGAAGGATCAGAATGAAAAAGGCATAATGTAAGCAGTGACAGACAATGTACTACTATTCTTCTGTGCTGAGAAACACATATGTATGTACATATATATGTGTATATATATACATACATATATACACGTTTGACAGTGCTCTTATTTGAGCCATATTTACATTTATGGATATTTATATATATATGCTATTCGCTGCATAATGGACATATACAAAAAAACAGGGTTGTTGGAGGTAACATTAACAAATTGTCTGTACCGATTTTTTTTTTTTTTTTTTTTTTTTTTTTTTTCCTTTTTATCATCAAATTTATTAGCAACTTGTTCATTTATTTACTTCGTTTCTTATCAGTGCCTTGTTCATAAGTCTACTTGGTTTCTTCATATCTCTATTCATAGCACCATTCTTATTATTATCCTTTTATATGTTAAACTTTTGCAATGTGAAAAACATACACATCATTTTATGGACTCATTCAAACAAATTTTCCACAAAAAAAAAAAAAAAAAGTAGTGCCTAAGTCTATGTAGGCCATGGAAATAGAGATACTTATAATAATGAAGTAATGACAAATGCGAATAAGAAATGAAATCATACACAATTTTTTTTCTCTTTTTTTTTCCTCTCTTTATTAAAAGGCGTTAACAATATTTAATAAAGAGAGGAAAAAAAAAAAAAAAAAAAAAAAAAAAAAAATCCTTCCATTTTACTGTCTCCACAAGGGTCCGTACTTATAAGTGAAAAAAAAAAAAAAAAAAAAAAAAAAAAAAAAAAAAAAAAAAAAAAAAAAAAAAAAAAAAAAAAAAAAAAAAAAAAAGGTTCAATCAGGAGTATCTTCATCTCATTCTTTCGTAGAATTATTTTCCCTCATATGACAATGTGCTAATTCTAATGAGATGAAGTATATATATAGAGTTGAAAAGGAAAAAAAAAAAAAAAAAAAAAGACACAATTTCGTTTGAGGAAAGGACATGGTTAAGGAAATACACATAAAAAGAACAGTATGATGCATATTTGCAACATTTAAGTATGTAGATTTGCATATATATTAGACGTGTGCCATCACGATACATTATTAAATGTGTGATTACCTTTGCATGTCTGATATTTTTATTTTTTTACATTTTTTTACATTTTTTTTTTTTTTTCGCTTCCCTTCCTCCCGTTACCCAAGAGACGAAAGATTAAATGAGCAAGGGATAGAAAGGGAAAAAAAACGGGAAAAAAATGAGAAAAGAACAAAACGAACAAAATGGAATTCAGCTTCAGATTCTACAAACACAAACACTTGTTTCGATTGAAGGAAAAATGGAAGAACATCGGGGAGCACGTATTATACTACTCAAATATTGAAGGAAAAGAGACAAATCATACAAATTTGAATGATGATGTTGAGAGGGATGAACAACACAACGGATATATTAGCATAACGTATCCGGAAATTATAAACACTATTCAATATTCATCTATATGTATGACAATTTTTGATAAAGAAAAAGAAATTGAAGGAATCGTGTCAATGGATTATGAAATGTATCCAGGTTCCTCAAGTATTACTGAAGAGAATGCACAGGAACATGTATCACTAATGGATGTGTACCATGCCTTATCATTACATATAAAAGAATATGTTTTGTCGTCAAATTTATCAAAAAATAACACTCTAATTATTAATTTAATGATTAGCGAAAATGCAAAATATTTTAATGATTTGTGTTCTTATTTATTTCACAACTTTGAAGATATAATATTTATTTTACTGTTTTTGAAAGAAAAAAAAAAAAAAAATGAAGACTTACTTTCTAATTGCAACAATTTGAGAACGTGTCTAAATATAGACATAGAAAATGATTTAAAGTTGGAAGGATTGCCATATGATAAAATTATCTTATTTAACAAATATTCATATGTGAACAAAATATATCTCCGATTGACCACAAGTTTCGATGTTTATGATTTGCATGAATTATTCAGGAAGTATTCAAAGCAAAATGTACCAGATACCAATCACTATCTGATTTATGACATCATTGAAAAAAAAACGGATGATGATATATTGTTAACTATACTTAATAATAAAAAGAAAATCATCGGGTTTACTTGGCTAAGGAAAAACATAGACATTAACATTCTCATTAACCTGTACAATTTGAAGGAGTACAACTACTTGCTCAAACGGGGCTTTTTCAATGACATCGGACCTTCCCTGGTATGTCTTCCGACACCACATAGAAATGTACAAACGAAGAACCAAAATATATAACTCTGTTTACCAGTTGCTATCCACTTACATACACATACACATACACACACACACTTCATGCTTTTTTTTTTTTTTTTTTTTCACTTCTCACCCTTTAGGTTGACTACAAGGGAGGAACAAAAAACCTTAACAAAATGAAAAAAAAATATCTGTTCATACAATTTAAACAATTCATTATGAGTAAAATAAAAGTGGAGAGTTTAGAAGACTTAGACAGTAAATTCCAAATCGATGCGGACGTTATTTATGATTATTTGCATGAACATTTGATTGAGGATGTGGAGGAATATGCAGAATATTTTGCGAAGAAGGATTTAGACACGCGGATAGTCTTGAGGAACATCTATAGTAAGGTATGTTTAAGTAGAAGAAATTTCATATGCTTAACATTTCCCCTTTTTCATTATCCCATAATCATAAAAAAAGCACAATAAATGAAAACGCTTGTGTATGGTTATTTTATTTACTTATACTTTATTTACGTATACTTTATTTACGTATACTTTATTTACTTATACTTTTATTTATTTTTATTTTATTTATTCTTATTTTATTTATATTTTATTTTAATTTATTTATTCTTATTTTTTTTTCTTTATTTCCATCTCCCTAACCCAGTTGCTGTATGACTACGAGAACTGCACACAGAACCTGGACAACAGTAACATCAACTTTTCTCTGTTGAACAAGTTGATTAACTTATATATTCACATAAGATACACTGATGTAATGCCCAATATGAGTGGATACAGATGAGTGGAGAATGAAAAACGGAAAAAAAGAAAAAAATGCAGCAAAATGAAATGATAGGCATAAGACACTCTTCTTTCCTTTTATATATATATATATATATATATATATACTTTTCTCATCACATAAAAAAACACTAATTGATTACATCTCTACATCTTTTGTTACTTTTCTTTAAATATAGATTGCCAAAGTGAGCACAAAATTTCAAAATAATTTCGAGAAAATTGAAATGCTTTATTTTAACTTTAATACTGACAAAACATATAAAAAGATATACGACAAAATACGAAAGAAAAAGGGAGACTTAAGGAACGGTCAAGGGGTAGAAAAGGGTACCAAAAAAAAAAAAAAAAAAAAAAAAAAAAAAGTGGAATAAATGGAGAGACTTCAAGAAATGATATTAAAATTGCATTGTCTCCTTTCCGCACATGTGTCCCAATTTTTCGGCATGAGCGAGTTATACCACTGTCACCACCTCACTTGCACACATTTTTCATTCTCTGCCACTTGATACAATTTGTTTGCAATTCAGTAGATGGAGAAAAAATGAACATCGTCAAACTGAACCATGATAATAATGGAAAGAACAGGCCTGTAAATAATTCAAAGGAGATGGTGAACTTGTCTTACTTTGACATATTCCTTTTGTTGCAGAATATTTACCCGGAGACATTTAAAAAGGTAGAAGCGCAAAAAGAGAGAGAAAATCTATCTGATAGTTTGTATGCCCTTTTGTTAGGCTATTTTGTGTGTCCACTTGTTTGTCTGCCAATTTGTCCACTTGTTTGTCTGCCAATTTGTCCACTTGTTTGTCTGCCAATTTGTCCACTTGTTTGTCTGCCAATTTGTCCACTTGTTTGTCTGCCAATTTGTCCACTTGTTTGTCTGCCAATTTGTCCACTTGTTTGTCTGCCAATTTGTCCACTTGTTTGTCTGCCAATTTGTCCACTTGTTTGTCTGCCAATTTGTCCACTTGTTTGTCTGCCAATTTGTCCACTTGTTTGTCTACCAATTTGTCCGCTTGTTTGTCTGCCTGTTTTTTATTCCTTCACACTTTTTGACATATTCGTCATGTGATTCCCCCTTTCCTAATGGACATAATGTAAAAATAAATTGCATCTTACACTTCTAATATGTGTGAACCTGGAGCATTATCGCCTTTCCATCAACTGACTATACTCCTCATATTTATTCTATTCTATACTATTCTATTCGATTCTATTCTATTTATTCTGTGTATTTATTTATTTATTTATTATTTTATTTTTTTGTTGTTGTTGATTCCCACGTTTTCCCCAATCTTCAGAACGAGATCATACTGTTATTTCTCTTCCTAGACCTATACGAGTTGATCAGTGTTCAGGAGTCAACTCCATTTGATTGCGTTTCGTTCAAGGTAAAGGACCTTTCACATTTGTGTAGTTGCTTTCTTGGATAGTTATTCTTACAATGTATGTTTTTTCATTACAAAATGTTACCTGTGTATTCGTGCATGTTCCCCATTTTTTTTTTTTTTTTTTTTTTTTTTTTTTTTTCAGCTATACTTAAATGAAATGGTGGATATTAAGAAAAATTATTTTATATGCAAATACAAGCACATTGATTGGTTGAGAAGTTTAAGCGATAAGGATAAAAATGCCTTTTCATTAAACATGTTTATTTTAAATGATAAGGTAGGAGAAAAAAAAAAAAAAAAAAAAAAAAGAAACATCATCAACATTCATATCAACATCAACATCGATATCAACATCAACGTGGATGTCAAAGGATGGGCTGATAAAACGGGGTTCCGAACTTTTTTTCATGTGTGTGCCTCCACATACACACAAATATGTCACACATGGATGCATACAATCGGTATGTGCATATAATAACACATGAACGCATGAACATACATGAGTGCACATCCTCCCATGCTTCTACACCTTTTTGTAATCCTCCTTGTGACATATATTACCGCGAAATCCTAATCCCACTTATGAACATTTGATATGAATCAAATGAATAAAACTGACAGTATTATAATCACTGCAAAGACATTTTGCTGAAGATAGAAAAGTACTATGATGAAGTTGATTATGTTATTACCACTAACAACGAAAAAGGAAGCATTCCTTTCATCCTTAATTATTTCAATCGGGTCAAGAAGAAAAGGAAGGCGAACACATTAGAATCATTGTATATACTTAATAAATATACTTTATTCTTACCTCCATGCACAGATTATATGAGATTAAGTGATGTAGAAGATGTACAGATATTACTGAAAAGTGTTAATCATGAAGAAAAGGAAAAAATAAATCAAGCAATTTTATCATTGAGGCATTTGCACAAAAAGAGAGTCAGTGAAGGGAATCCATTCTCAGGTTTGTGTCCAGAATGAGTGAGACCAATATATATGTTAGTATATTGGAAAAGGTTGTTAATGTATGTACATATATACATGCATGTATGTATGTATGTATATATGTATGTATGTATGTATGTATGTATGTTTTGGAGTTATCTTCACATATGCCACACGAATGCACAGGGTGTCGTGCCTATTTTTTTCTACTCCCCTCGACCTGCGTTTCTCAGAGGTCAGTTTTTATCAGTCAAGCAATTACTACATATTCGTGACAAGGTGTGGTGGGAAATTGATAAATATAACCTCAGGGAGCACATTGAACAATATAGACTTTTATTACAAACTAAAGGATTTTGATTTTAAAAATGTGATATTGCAAAACGAGAATCGACATGAAAAGCACTTCCTGCTGTCTTTTTTTTCATCCATCATTATTTTCAAGTACTACGACAAGAGGATTGTTCACAATGTGCTTGGGTAAGTTTCACGGAGTGCACATATACACACGTATACATTTTTAGTATACACATAAATGTGTACCTGCATGCGTGAGGGCCAAATCGGAAGCTGTGCATAAAAGGAAAAATCCATAAACGGATGTACTGTTCATCGTCTACCATCCAGCGAGAACAGTGCACTGATGGCAATGCACAGATGGCAGTACTCTGATGACAATGCACCGATAACAATGCACCGATAACAATGAACTGATGACAATGCACCGATAACAATGCACCGATAACAATGAACTGATGACAATGCACCGATAACAATGCACCGATAACAATGAACTGATGACAATGCACCCTTCCCTGCTTTCCCTCAGACTGACGAAGGCCTGCTCGTGCCACATCGACGTTAGGTTTAATACCCACTACGATATATACAAGTATTTTAAATTTTTATTTAGAAAAGACAACAGTGAGAATTTATGTAGAAAGAAAGACATTTTGGAAAAGAGAGTAGTGCCAGAGCAAAGGAACGCATGCCACAAAGGATCCTACCTGGTGCTAACAAAGCAAATGTGCTGCAGGAAATATATGAATATAGATCATAACATTGTTTTCTGGGGACTTAATGACATATGCTTAAATACCTTGTACAAATTAATGACAAATAACGAATACTTTTTTAATAACATAATTCTTATAATATCATACAAAAATAAATATCTTGAAAATAAATCATATGGGGTACAATCATATGGAACACATGATGAATACAATTGCATAAAAAATTGGAGTTTGGAAAATTTGGAGATATACTCAAAATTAAAAAGTATAATGATTAAAAAAAGAATAAAAATAATTTATGATAATGTTTTTAGCATTGATAGAGAGAATAAAAAAATAGAATTAAGTGATAAACAATGGATTTTTTATGATTACTTATTTATATGTTTCGATAAAGAAGATATTACCATGTATTCCTTCGATTTGAATAGTTATGAAGCAGGAAAGAAAAAAAATTTTAATTTTATTCAAAAAAATAAGAGCTCTTCATGTCCCATTGAGTGTTTTGACTTTTTAACGAAGGCAAAGGATTATGAAAAATATGAGTTCACCCAAGATTGTTATTACTACCCCAGGGGAACTGGGGTGTCAGGCAAAGCTGATCAACATATCATGATGAACCCAAAAGGGAGGAAAAATAAAAACTACTTGAACAGTCAGAATGGTTACCATGCCATCTGTCCATCTATTCGAGGAGCAAAAAATGGAGACATCTCATTGGGGGAGGGAAAAGAAAAAAACAGCTGCACTGAAAGATACCTCAGGGGAGTGGATTTGAAAAAAAGACAAGCAGGGGATGAAGGGCAGCTGAAGGAGAAAACAAGGAGACATATTCATGGAGTAAGTCGAAGGCATGGAAGACAAGGACACAGAGAAAGAGTTGACTATGTGTCAGGCAAAAATAGGGACACCATGAAGAAGGGAAGTAATAGTTCAAGAGAGGGAGAAAACATGAAGAAGGAGAAGATAGATCAATATAACGAAGAAGAGGAGGAAGAAAATTACTATTCTGGATACACAAGTGTGTCTTCAAGTTGTATTCAGACGAGCGAAACAAGTCATTCTGAGGTAGAAAGGAAAAGCAGTATCATGGAGATCTATGATGGTACAACGGGTCAACCGGGTGAGGCTTCTTTTGAAAGGAAGGAAAAAATTTACATTTTGTCACAAGGAGAAAATGGAAGAAGTGAAAACATGTTGATAAAACCAGGAATTAAGAATGAAAAAGTGGAAAAAGAAGGAAAGGGAGACTCATCAGTAGGTGGAGATAAAAATGATGAGAAAAGTGGTGAAATTTCTAAAGTGTTTGAATTTCGAAAATTTAAAAAAGGTAAGATAGATGGATGTAGTCAAAGTGATAACAGGAATGGAGAAGAAGAAAAAACTTGCTTGACAGGGCATAATCTAGGGAATGCAAAGTTGTGGGGAAAAAAAGGAGAGAAAAATGGAGAGAAAAATGGAGAGAAAAATGGAGAGAAAAATGGAGAGAATAGTGGAGAGAATAGTGGAGAGAATAGTGGAGAAACAAATTGGGGGAAAAGCGTGGAAGGTATTTTCAGCATAAGTGATCCATTTTTAGAAAAATATTTTGACAACAATAGTAAATACATGAGTGTCGTGAAAAATTGTGTAAGTTACATTGTCATATATAGTGACAATATGAACATTCTTAGCATAATTAATTTTTTCTTTAAAAATGGGATCAGCTCGTATAAACTGTTAATTATATCTCCACACACTTGTGGTAAATGTAGCAAAAAAATTTCAAAAATGAATTTAAGAGAAAAAATATTTCAGCATAGGACATATTATAAATATAATGCTCAGTTAAAAGGCAACTATTTATTTTCCAATAAGACATACCAAAAAAATAATTATCACAAAAATTGTATATGTGACAATATTAAGGGTGTCCTCAATAAAGTATTTGTTCTGTTTCATCTGCTTAAAATTCGTATCATTCGTGGAGAAATAATTGCCATCAAGACGAGTACACATGATAGAATAAAGCACGTCATTGTTCGCTTTTGCAAACACAGGAAGGTTGATAAGACTATTCTTTCAATGCAGAAATTCATTTGTGAAGATGTTATTTTAATTCCTTGCAGGATCTTACTAACATCGTACGTCTTCAACATAAGCAACCATTTGCACTACGTGCTCAGCAAAGCCTCCATCGTTTACAATGATCGAATATGTGTCAACCACAATTTCCAGGTTAGTGCTCACAGGGGAGTAGTTATCGAATTCGGGATTGCACGCTTACCATTTCATGCTTACCATTTCATGCTTACCATTTCATGCTTACCATTTCATGCTTACCATTTCATGCTTACCATTTCATGCTTACCATTTCATGCTTACCATTTCATGCTTACCATTTCATGCTTACCATTTCATGCTTACCATTTCATGCTTACCATTTCACGTTTACCATTTCATGTTTACCATTGCATAATTACTATTGCATATTTGCTATTACATACTGAGTAAAGATGTTTCCAAGTGTGGAAGGGACATAGGGAAGACACTTCACGAGGAGGGTATATTTTCAAAATCAATGGCCATTTCACATTTCTTCTGCACATGTAAAAATATGCATGTTACATGTGCATATTGGTTTGTTTAACGTATGACATAAAAACTGTGCTACTTTTTCCCTCCTTGTCACCCTCGCTCCTCCTTAATTTTGCAGACAAATGATAAATACATTTTCAGCGCAGGAGAACTGTGTGCATTTTCCAGTAAATACAGAATTGGAAAAGAAAATGTCTTAAAGCATGAACAATACAATGGTACAGAAATTGGAAAGCTTGTTAGCAAGAGGTTTTTAAACATCATTATGGAAAATGTTCGAAAGCAGATAAATTTTGTGGGATCCAAGAAAAGTAGTAGAGGAGAAACAAAAGAAGGCAGAAACATGCACAATGAGCATTCTACAAATGGGATAGTAGCTTTCCAAGATGAAGAAGAGGAAAAATCCATAGATCTTTATAAAAGACTAAAAGTGTTTGAGAGGCCAATTATCCATTTCTACTGTCTTCCATGTGATTTTTATTTTTATCATTTTGAAGCCCCTACAGGAGATCTATGTAAATTTCATCATTCATCTGTGACACGTAGTGAAGGAAGAAATGAAAAAAGCATAAATAATAGTAAGAATTCAAATGAGATTGAAAACAATTTTGCAAAATTATATAATGAGGCCTTTTTGACAGACACTCTAAAAATATACATGCGAAAAGATATACAACACAGTATATATTTCAATGTCAAGCATTTTGAAGTGTCCAGAAATATTACTACGAATGGATATTATTGCAGAGTCACAACAAATTCCTTGAACTTGATAAATTCGTTTACATACTTGGGTAGGGGATTCTCCGCACACATCATATTACACATATTACATATACCTCTGCATCTATGAGCTAGGGCCACTTGGCATGCTCACCACTCAG